ATGCACAGAGCAGCCACAGGTCTGGGCCGGCCCTCGGCTTCACTCTTTAACAGGTGATGTGGTTACCTCTGCACTGCACTTTCCTCATGGACTCACCTGGTCAAAAATCAATTGACATAGATATTTTGGTTTGCTTTATTTATTTATTTATTTTGAGAGGTTTTTTTTCGCTATAGGGTACGTGCACTTGCCAGACAGACAGAGAGACAGAAAGCGAGAAATCACCACTCAGGGGGGATGGTCACGCCGCAATTCCTTCTCCTCCATTCTCCTCTCAGGATCTTGGGCACCCACGCACATGCGCCTGGTGTGAGTTTTAAGCCACTGGGTCCAGGACGCAAACCTCAGTCGACCACGTGGGAGTCCAGCAACATAGCCATTACGCTAACTGCTGGATCCTGGGTTTGCTTTTATACTCTCAATTATTGTATATTAATTTACATGTCTAGTCCTGTGTTTGTAGCACACTGTTTATTACTTTAGTTTCATTGTAAGTTTCAAAATTGAGAAGTAGGAACCCTCCATTTTGTTTTTATTTTCTTCTTCTTTTTTTTTTAAAGCTTTTGCCATAGGGTGCATTAATTGACTGGAGAGATACAGAGGGAGGGAAAGTGAGAAATGATCTCCTGCGGGGATGGCCACACCATAATCTCTTCTCCTTCATTCTCGTCTCAGGATTTTGGGCAAGCACATATACATGTGCCCAGTATGATTTTTTTTTAAATTTTTATTTTTATTTTTATTATTTTTTATTATCATCATAATCTTCTTTATATTACATTGGATTACATATAACTTTACAGTGTATTACATTGCTTTTTCAAAAGGGATTGGCCATGAATGTCAGCCAATACAGAGACATTAATCTCCCCACTTCAACATTCAATATCTTTTCTATGTTTTCCCCAATCAGTATTATTATTATTCTAATTATTTTTTAAAACAGTCAATTGCTATTTCTCATTTTGCTTGTAAAAATACTTTGCCCATCATGAAGTACTTCTCAGACCAATCCAGTTGAGAATACTATACATGTCATCATCAACAGGTAATGAGCCATATCTGTTTCTCACTAACGTCCTGCCTCTCTATTGTTCACTTCTATCTTTCTCTATCCTCTTCTCTTCACCTCCCCCATTCCACACTGTCCTATTCTCATTAAGTACCTTCACTGCTTTTATGTCCTCCAATTTTTTGGCTCTCTACCATAGAGTGCGGATAGTCAGTATATACTGAGTGGTCCCAGCATGATTTTTAAGCTGCCACGTCCAGGACTCAAACTGCAGTCGATCATGTGGGAGTTCAGCACCTTCACCACCACTTCTCCTGCTGACCCCTTGTTGTTCTTTTTTAAAGACTGTTTTGGCTATTTTGGGTTACTTGCAGTTCCATATGAATTTGAGAATTGGTTTTTAAATTTTTGTAAAAGAGTAGACATTAGTATTTTGCTTATTCATAGTCTGTTGACTTTAACAGTGCTCTGTGTGTGTGTGTCTTCTTCAGGATTTCTTACATAAAGGATCATGTCGTGTGTGAATAGAGATAGTTACACTTCTCACTTTCCAATTCAGGATCCATTTATTTATTTTCCTTGTCTACTTGCTTTGGCTAGAACTTCTAGTACAACCTGGAAGAGCAGCGATAAAAGTGGGTATCCTTGTCTTGCTTCTACCCTCAGGGAGAAACATTTAGTCTTTCACGATTCAGTGTAATGTCACTTGTGAGCTTTTACACGTGCCCATTATCATGTGGAGGAAGCTCCCCTCTTGTACAACATTACTCACTTTTCCTATGTTGGATCATCCTTGTGTTCTTGGGCTGATTCCCCTTGATTGTGGTATATAATACTTTGTTTTATACAGGATTTGTTCACTGTTTACTGACAGAGTTGATTAGCTGAGGATTTTTTTTAAATTCATATTTATAAAGTATGCTGGTCTGTGATTTTGTTATATTTGTCTGATGGTTTCACACATTTATATATAGTATGACATAAATACTACTTCACTGATATTTTTATTCTTTTAGAAATAAATGCTGTTTATACCATAGTTAATTTACTTTAGCATTTTGTAATAAAAAGTCACTGGGCTAGGATAATTGCTAAAATCCCTACATTTTGAGTCAGTCAAGTCTGGGTTTAATTCATGGCGCTGCCACCAACTTGTTCTTGCAGTCAGCCAATCCTCTTAGATTTACTCACCTTAACTCCGTCAAAAATTGGCAGAGTGTGATTATAGTTCTTAGAATGACACAAGTCTATATTACCCAAGCATCTTATTTTTTTCCTCATACATTCCCTAAAGATTTATATGGCCTAGTTTTGTTTTAAAATAAAACACTGTGATTATTTTCTTTGAAAAGTCTTTTTTGATTCATTACATCTTTCCCTGTTGAGGCTGTTTAAAAAATGAATGCATTTTGTCAGAATAATTCATGGCATGTAATTCCCTTTGGCAAATTCCTAGAGGCTGAGCGTCTCGGAGTTTAGGTCTCTGTGGAGCGTGATTGAGCCCAGTAATGGCAGTAACTGGGTAGGAGCAAATATGCCTGCTGCGTTTCCACACTGCAAGAACTTTAACTCAGAAGAAAATTCAGCTAACCTAGTATTTTCAATGTGAAGTAACTCTTCGTAGAAGAATGGTGGCGCCTGACATAGTGTGTCGGGAAGTCTGGCTCAAGTTCTTTCTCATTGAAGGAGAGAGTTGAGCGGAAAATCCCAGAGCAGGTCGTTTAGTCCTTGCAGGCATATTTTATTATGGACATTGCATTTTTTATCATTTGTACTTTGTGAGCCCACAATATCTCAAATACAAGAATAAATGGCTTCCGAAGTTTCTGATTTATGCAAACTTGAAAATTGTAGGGTCAGGAAAACCTTCAGATTGTATCTGCCCCCTATTCCAGGAAGGGGGAAATCGATTAGTATTAAATTAACCTAAATATTTTAAGTAACCTAAATATTTTAAATTAGCCTAAACCCCAAACAAGCTTTTACCACAACCTTTAGTCACTTCAGAACTTCCTTCTGAGAAAGAACAGAAATAATTTGAGAAATAAGGATCTCAAATGTAATGTTTATTGGCTCAGACTTACTAAAATACTCTGTATGTCCAAGAGAAAATTCTGAGGAATGTATAAAATACATAGGAAAATTTAAAATAAATTTCTGCAGATTAGCCTTCAATTTTACTGGAACGTAAATATCAGGAGCTTTATGGGTTAATTCTTAGTATCAAAGAACTAAAACAAAGGCCACCGGAGCACTGGCAGACAGGGTGTGTCTGAACCGATGGGACCACATACCAGGGAAGAATGCAAGGGCAGACCCTGAGAGGGTCAGTGCGTGAGGGTGGGGAACGAATGTGCCCAAGCATGTGCAGGTGAACGGCCAAAAGCAGGCATTCTAGAATTCTAGAAGGGCAGAGTGAGCCTCAGGTCCACATTGCGCCATTCGCCAGCCAGAGAAGTCTCGATGCTGAAAGGAATGATAAGACCTTCCACGTTCTACAACCTGTTAGCTTTGCTTTCATACCTGTCCATGTTTCTGGGCATGTGACTGAGCTGGACAGTCATCTTGGAGAAATACTGTCTCAGTTGTGATATACTCAGGCGAGTGGTGTCGTAAGGGGAAATTTTCCTTTTACATTTGCAAATATATTGCAAAGATACATTGCCAACACATTTGAGATGAGAATCAGTTATACTAATTAGAAAAATTTTAGTATGAAATAATAATAATAACGAACTAACAATCATTTTGCCTTTTCCTGAATTGAAGTTCTTTTTTTCATACAATAAATACAACAAAATTTAAATTTAGTCAAATAATTACACTGAAAACACTTGAAGCCAAGAGTCTAATTTATTACTATGTTAGCATTTGCAATGGTTAATTCTCATCTTATTTGTCATTTTTTACAATAAAGTGATTAAGTCAGATTTGAGATTTTGTTTCTCTACCCTGTGCTTGGATAAGGAACTGGTTTTCATTCCCATATTACCTGCGAATGAGCAGAAACTATTGTGAACAGGTAGAACTGTTTTATCTAACACGCTTGGTCTAGCTGCAGGCCCTGTAGAAGCAACTGCAATGAGGTCTTCACGTCGGTGGGCAACCGTGGATGTAAGTTTAGGGTTACAGGTAGTTACAATTGTTATGGGTCAAACTTGCCAGCTAATACTAAAAATCTAAACACTCATTGACAAAACCATGTCAAGATGTATTTACAGGATTGTTAATTGTACCATCATTACAATAGAAAAATGTAAATAACAGAAAAATGGTTCAAAAATAATTGTTAAATGATTATACAGTGGGATACTTTGCATACATTAGTAATGATTTTAAGAAAATTAGTTTAATAACAGCTAGGCCAACAGGTGTGAGGTGGCATCTCATTGTGGTTTAGATTTGCATTTTCCTAATGATTGGTGATGAGCATTTTTTCTGGTCATTTGTATGTCTTTGGAGAAATATCTATTCGAATCCTTTGCCCATTAAAAATGTTTTGTTTTATTTATTTATTTATTTACTTACTATGAAGTTACGTGAGTTTCTTATGTATTTTGGAAATTAGCCCTTTATCAGCTATATAGTGAGCAAATATTTCCCCTCATCCAATAGGTTGTCTTTTTACCTGGTTCCAATATGGTATCTATAGCTAATAACAAAGTATTGCATACCTCACAATTTGTGAAGGGGGTAGATATCACATTAAATGTTCTTGCCACAAAACAACAAAACTGGAAAAGCACGAAGAGACACAGAGAATTGTTGGAGGTGATGGGTGTGTTTATTATCAAATGTATATGCATGTCCAAACTCACCAAGTTGCGTATACTAATTACATAGTTTTGTATGTCAGCTATACCTCAATAAAGCTGGAGAAAAAGTCTTTGAGAGTGTATTGAATGCTATGGAAAGACAAGTGTGTAAAAGATGATCCCCTTTTGGGATTTCTCAACCAGCTGGTTTATGTCTCTGCTGAGGAAGACTGTGAAGGTATGCATCAAAATACACAAAACTACTTTTAGACAGTAGGATCCTGAGTTATTTAAATGCTTTTATTTTTTTCTTTGCTGTACTTCTATTTTTCTACACCAAGCATACAATATTTTAATAGGCAGCAAACCATCTCACACTGAAAGCAGAAAGTGAGCTCTCGGTGATCAGGGGACCACACGTCAGTGAAGGACCCACGGAGCGGCCCCTGAGAGGAACAGTCCGTGTGAGGTTGTGGACAGGATGCTCGCAATGCGCGGACATTGCTTTTTTCAGAGAAATAAAACCTGGACTTGATAGTAGGCTGGAGGCCGAGTAAAGAGACCAAACACAAAAGCAAAAGAGTCGGGATATAAACCAAGAAGGGTCCCATGGAGGACAGAGCTGCTCTGTGGGGGATACGCTGAGGCAGCACTTGGGAAGGACACTGAGAGTGGACGGCCTGGGAGATGCACGTCTGCTGTGTCCCGGGAGCAGCAGCGGCGGCCTCATGCACAAATACTGCATGCTTTCCCAGAGCTCACCTCCACTTCCTAACATTCGTTTTATGGTGGAAGAACTTGAGTTCCGTATTTCCTGCTCGGCCCTCAGTAGCAGCATTAGTCTCACCTTTTTCAGATCTGTTCACACTAATGCGAGAAAAAGGGGAAGTTTAAAATGCTGACTAGGTGGCGAGTTGTGTCACCGCATCTCTGTGGTTCAGTCTGGCACACCCTCTCAGACCCACTTAACTGAACGTCAGGCTGATGAGCAACTGTGCGCGAGCTGAACGCGGACACCTTTACTGCGGTTCTCAGATCTCCCCGTGGAGGGAGCACTCCCAGGGTTTGATCAGCAGGTTGAGGTGGGGCTTGAGAACTGGCGTTTTTCCTAAGGTGTCTCTGTTGCCTAGGGGCCACGCGTGCAGAACCCCTGTCGCGCACTCCGGGGACCAGCGGGACGCCACTCCCTGGGAGCGCATTGCAAAGGCAGCGTGGCGATCCCAGTTCAGAGCGGAACCCGCACCGACAGGCCCCGCGGGCGGTCTGCACACACGTGCAGTTTGGGAAGCAGAGCTGGGTACGTGGGTTAAGTCAGAATGAGGTGGATAGACCGAGCTGGGGTCTGCTGCGTTCCCGCTTCCCGGGTGCTGTCTCACGCTGGTCAGAGCGCTCGGTTCTGTGGCGGTAAAGGCCGCTTAAACCTCCCGCGTCGTTTTCCTCCCTGGGAGAGCCTTTGGGAGAAACCAGCACGTAGGTCCCGGACGCAGCCCAGACGTCCTGAGGGTTAAAAGCTGAAGGAAACCACTCTGCACCTGCGACCAGCTGGGGCGCCCAGGACGCCGCTTCCTCGCTCTCCGACGCGGCGGCTCCTCGCTCCTGCGGCCGGAGATCTCCGCGCGCCACCTGCTCCGCCGGGCGGGACAGCGCTGGGCCTGGGCGGACCTGGCTGCTTTGCCCCCTGCCCGCGCCTGCCCGAAACTGCTCTCGCCCCCTTTCGCACCTTGTCAGAACCCTATCAGATCTCAGCGGAAAAGACGGTGCCATGTGGTTTCGTTTCATGGCCGCGTTTTATCTCGCTCTCTCTCCTCCTTTCTCTTTTTCCCTAAGAGGCTCTGTGTGTTTGGAGGAGAACGACATATGAGGACGCTCCAGGTCTCTAACCTCTGAGGACCCGGGAGGTCTTGCAGTCCTGGAATTTCCTTGGACGGAAAGAGAACTTGGCGCCCTAGTTTTGCCGGTTCGGTTCCTGGTCCTGCCCCTTCAGCGCACACGCACGCGCCGCCCGCCGTCCCTCCCCTTCCAAGAGCCCCGCGCCCGCCCACGTCGGCGCCCGGCACTGTGGCCGCAGGAGGCGACGCCAGGCCTCGCAGTGTCCTGGTCAGCGCTTGGTTGAGACGCTGCGAGTGGAGAGAAACTCAGCAGCGGAGAATCCGGGTCACCGAGGATGGGGAATTACCTCCTGCGAAGACTCGGGTGAGGCTGGACGCGCTGCCTTTCTGGAGCGGAGGGCTGAGGCTGATTGCTGCTTGCGGTAATAGGGAGCTTGTTAAGTGCGCGTGTGGCCAGTCGTAGAGTATACGGATTCTGGTTCCCAGTCGAATTCCGCCTCACGCAGTGTTTTGGGTGCTACGGGCACATCATACGCCAGAAGGTGACTGTCTACCTGTCATTCCGGAGGCGCCGCAGCCCTGCGCTTTAGAAAGCACCCCGGCCTGGGGCCGCCGCTTCTTTCCACTCCTGTCTTTCCTGAGTCAGGTGTAGGGCTTACCTTCCGCAAACTCGCTTCATGGACTGGTACGAAAATGAACAACCAGGTCCTTAAAAATTGCAGATGCAAGTCACTCAAATGCTTTCTGACGGGAGCAGGGCCTTTCTGGTGACTTTCAGCCTTATTCTCTTCAAAAGCAGAGCGGACACAGTGACCAGGTGCGGCCCTCACACCCCGGGCACCGCCTTCCTCCGCGGCTCTCGGAACCTCTGAACCCCTGTTCTATCCGACGGGCCAGACCGATCGGCCAGCGAAGCCCCAGCCAGTGTCCGGGTCCCAGCGGCGCTTTGATTCCCAGCGTCTGGCATCGCCAGTGCAGGCCCCTGGTTCTGGATGCCAAGGTTTTATGCGTTCTGTGTTAGTAAGTGCGCCACTTCGGACACTGCGTCCCTCACGTTTTTAGCACCCAGACTCTACTCCAGTGTCTCCTATCTAATAGTGAGTTTTCAAAAGCCCCAGTGCCCGCTTGGGTTAGCACAAATCCGGGGTTTAAAGACTACGTGTTTAGGTCAATTAAATATCCTTCTCTATTCTTTCTGCCATGAATAGGCTGCATGGATGTTATGCCCTGGGCCCGCACTTGCCGATGTTTCCATGTTTTAATTTAAAGCCTGAATGCCTTGGCTGACAGACCTCTCGTGCCCAGCTTAACTTTGTATCATATATGCTTGTCAAAATTCATTCATCCTGGGACCAGCACTTAGCATAATGGCTATGTCGCTGGACTCCCACGTAGTTGACTGCAGCTGGAGTCCTGGACCCGGTGGGTTTAAAACTCACGCCGGGCGCGTGTGCGAGCGTGCCCAAGATCCCTAGAGGAGAATGGAGGAGAAGGGATTGCAGCGTGGCCATCCCACTGGGGGTGATTTCTGGCTTTCTGTCTCTCTGTCTCTCTCTGTCTTTCTGGTGAGCCTATGTGCCCTATAACAAAAAAACTCTCCCAAAAATAAATAAATAAACTCACTCATCCTGCAATGCCATCAAGTCCTACACCTTCCTGACCACTGCCAGAAATTATTCTCAGTCTCCTCGGACTTGTACAGTTTTATACATTAATGACTCGAAACAGACTCTACTCCATGTCGTGATTCCATATTTATAAGTCATTTAGATTATGGATTCGTTGACTATGAGGACAATACCTTTTCTATTTGAAATCCCTGGAATCCTTGCTAACACTGTCCAGGAGAGAGGCACTGGCTGGTTTGAGGAAGTGCATGTAGTTTTCATTGAAATCAAGGAAAGCAGAACAAAACGGTCTGATTTGGAACGGAGACTTAGAGGAACTTCTGTGTTTTAGTTGCCCTCCTTTTTGTGTGCTCTTAGAATACTCCTCACTAGAGGCAGGCAGTACTCCTCCTTCAGAGGCAGGTGTGTGGAGGCCCAGGGAGGCACCCACTTCTCTGACCACAACAGCCTCAGTGTCCAGAGTGGCAGCGGAGGGCTTGGCTTCGAAACTGCATCACTTATATTTGATTCTGTCTTGTTCTTGTCACCCTGGACAAATTCCTCTCCCTCCCTGGCACAATGCCCCTCATCAAAGTGAAAATAAGAATATTGCCAGACCCTAGGTTTAGTTGTGAAGATTACATTGAAAAATGCATAATTGTCAGTGAGAACATAGTAGGTGAATAATTACTTAGCTGGTTTTCTGCTGCCGGCCTTGCTTTCAGAGTCTTGAGCATGGTATACATATTTTGTTCCAATGATTATTCATAGGAGCCATTCTGCTCACAAGAGCCTCACTTAAATGCACTGCAGATAGAACTGAGAATGAGCATGAGAATTTGACTCACAGGACTTATCTACAATAGGGAGAGGTTAGCGCCCAAGATATGAGTTTCAGTTGTGATGAGCGTGGCAGAGTGAGGGCCTAAGTATGGCTGGAAGGCAAATGTCTCAAGGCTTTATGTGAGATAGGGACACCTGCTCCCTGAGAAGAGACTCAGTGCTCTGGGCACGCATGCACACATGCCTCACATGTTTTTCAAGCGAGGGGTCTGGGACCCCAACAGCACAGTCTGCCCTAGGGGACCCAGCCCCTTATCATCAGCAGCACTGGCCCCACTGTGCTCTTAGATTAATTAACTCATATTTTATTGAGGATTGTTCAGTCTATTTTTCATGAATGAATTGGCTTAAGTTGTGACTTTACAACTCCACAAGGAAGTCTTAACAAACACACCCCCCCAAAATCAACAATGTGCCCACTGCCCAATATCAATCAGTAAAATCTAAAAACAATTTTAAAATTGTAATTAAAAATATACTTGTCCAGTCATATGTTAAATAGTATGCAATCCTTATGTTAATTGAGGAATCATAAGGAGCTCTCTGAAAACACATAATAAAATACTGATGAAATCTAGAAAAATTAAAGAGGAGAAAAAAGGAAGTATGAAAAATTACCCATAATCTCAATATTTTGACCAAGATATTTCTTAAATTGTAATTTATTTATACCTATTTTTAAGTGGTAGAATATTAACTGATTCGTTAATTTAGTCAACAATTTTTAAACATCATCTATGACCCAATATTATCTGAATTACTCTGGAGTGTCTAAAAAATTTACTTTAGTTTGATGTAATTTAGATTCCAATAATGGTAAGTAATAGTAATCATGTGGAATTCCAATCAGGTCCATATGAATGCTTAGGTCTGTCCTTTTCCTGTTTCTAAGTTTAAAATACAAACACACTTTTTTTTTTTTTGGAGAGGTTTTCGCTACAGGGCGCTTGTGCTCACCAGACAGACAGAGGGAGACATAGAGACAGAAAGCGAGAAATCACCCCCCAGGGGGGATGGTCATGCCGCAATCCCTTCTCCTCCATTCTCCTCTCGGGATCTTAGGCCCGCACGCACACGTGCCCAGCGTGAGTTTTAAGTCACTAGGTCCAGGACACGAACCGCAGTCGACTATGTGGGAGTCCAGCGACATAGCCATTATGCTAACTGCTGGTTCCCAAAATACAAACACACTCTTGGTGAGTGGGCCAGTGAATCACTAATAACCTCAAGGAGAATTATTTTTATGAAATTTTTTCTTCATTGTCTACTTCAGGAAAATGGAATCATGAGAAAACTGGACTTCAGAGAAACAGAAGACTATGAAAAGACACAAGTTAAATTATGATCTACACTATTAAATAATCATTATATCCAGATTCAACCATAATTATGAATAGTATACAAAAATCTCTACAGCTATAGAACTCATCCTATAAAAATAAAAGGACTTTCTCCTCTGTAAATCTAATTTATTTGTGAAATTGCCTTTGCACACCGGCCCTATATATAACCACTTCCCTTGAAGTTTGTAACACCCACACTGAGCATTCCTGGTGTTTTTTTAATGAGGGTCATAGTTGGAAACATTTTACATGCAAACCTACATAGAAACAGAAGGATGGACTGGGATTGGGAAAACAGTAACAGAGGAAAAAGAGCATTCCAATAAGATGGTATATTTGGCCAACCGGTGTAGTAGAAAGTGTAATGAAGTGAGTCATAGGCTTTGGGCCATGCTAAGTGTTGAGTTAATCATGCAGATCACCTGATTTCTCTGACCTCAACAGCATTTAGAGTTCGTTTGATAGTCATAACAATTATGGTAACAGATGGGGAAACACCAAGATTAACATGCAAAAGATAAACTTTCCTGAAGATCGGTAAAGACTGCAACACCCTGTCTCAGAATGTATGAACAAACAGCAGGTGCTGTCTGGAGGGCCACGGGCATGCCCACTGCTGACCCTGCCAGGGCTTGGAGAAGCTGCACTTCCCATCATTCGAGTCTTCATACTTTCTTGAGTCCTCTCATTTCTTCTAGAAATTCAGCAGATCTGTGCAACTTGTTAGAAGAAAGCACAGCTCCGGAGCCTTCCTGGTGATTAAATACAAGACTTTAGACATTTTGTCGCATTCCAGCCTTGTCTCTGTGCCTCATTTCTGAATGTGTCTTACAGCTGTGTCTGCCTGCTGAAAGGAAGGCAAAGAAAGAAAAGTCAGGCGTGGTTCCCTGGTTGGACTGGCTGGAGTAGGAGTGAACACATTTGGGATAGTGACAACTTCTTTTTTCTCTTATGTGTTTCATTGTAGCTGCCTGAGAGAGAATCAGAAGCAGCTCAGTACAGGAGACCCAGATGGGGAAAAGACACGGTAAGAAAAGGTCACGTATGAGTGTTTTCTTCCAAGATTTATTTCCAGAATCTGTCTCACAAGAACCGAACCCTCTGGGACCACAATGGTTCCTTCTGCAACGTGACTGCAGGTTAGATGGTGGCTCAGTCTAAAGCAGAGAGACAGGGCCTCAATGAAGCAATTGTTGGAATACGTGGAAGGGTTTGTTTATGATCGACTTCTTGGCAATGGTCACACTTCCAGCCCATTCCTCATTAGCAGCCAGAATAATCTGCAGAAAATGTAAGTCTAATCAAGCCTTTTCCTTGCTTCCAACCATTCAGTTAGTCTCTACGGAATCTAGAATAATGGTCAAGCTCTTCACCAGAGCCTACACCACTATCAGAATCAACTCTTTGAGACCAGCAGGTGGTGTAATGGTTACATCTCTGGACTCCCACATAGACGATTGTGGTTTGAGTCCCAGACCCAGTAACTTAAAACTCATTCTGGGTGCATGTGTGTGCATGCCCAAGATCCTGAGAGGAGAATGGAGAAAGGATTGTGGCGTGGCTGTACCCCTGGGGGGTGATTTTTACTTTCTGTCTGTCCATATCTCTGGCGAGCACACATGACCTATAGCAAAAATCTATCTTAAAAAAAAAAATCAACTCCTCTACACCTTTCCAGTTCTCTCCCTCTCTTTTCACTCTCACTCACTGTCTCCCATGTGTTCTGCTTCTGTTTTTTGTTTTCTAAGTCACCGAGCTCAGCCTCACCTCAGGGCTCTGGTGCTGGCTGTCCTCTCCCTGCATGTTGATTTCCACTTGGACCCATCAATGGCATCTCCTCCTGGAGAGTCTGTCTCTCATGCTCTCCTCTGAAAGACCTCCCCGCCTAGAGTGGGAAAGCTGCTTTTGTACCCACTGTTTTCTGTCACTGTCCCCACTTACATTTGATGCAGATTTTATATCAACTTGCAGCTCTTAGGAGTTGTTTTAGCCTTTTGCAGTCTATGAACTGTGTGCTCTTTAAGGCAGTCTGCCGTGTTCGTGCATATCTTGCTAGTGCATATCTGTTGCTTATCTCTTACCAGACGCTCAACGGAAAAAAAAAAAAAAAAGTGGAAAAGCAACAGTTATCTGGACACTGATATCTTGCCCTGGCGTTGATCAGCAGAAACATGCTACTTTGGATGTTGGGCTTTTCATATCTTTGTGCTCAATCTATTCTCTAATTTTATTCAAGGTCCTGTCCTGTCTCTGAGGTGGCCCCTTCTTCTCTGACATGGTGAAGGGGAGGTGGACGAGGACAAGGGCTAGTTAGCTTTCACTGGGGATATGAAATGACGTTTGCAGGCACTGGCCAACTCCCAGAT